AGTCTTCCGAATTGTTAAAAAGCAAATTATATGAAGCATATGATCCCTATATGCGAACGTTCTTGGGCTTAATGCCTGAAATATCATCCTGTATATAGCTTTTTTTATATCGAAATATTATATTATTAGAATTAGAAACATTGGGTATTATTTATGCTTCAGGAAATATTTTGCAAGAATTGAACATTAAAATAGCTTGGATCGGCATTGATTTAGAAGAGATATGCCTTAGGTTTTGCAGAACTTTGTTCGTTTTTTTTAAGGATCATAGGGAAGCAACATGTCGATGCTCTTAGAAGAATTTTTCTATTTACTGGTATAGGAGTGAGGCTATTAACAAGATAAGGTCACAAATGGAAAATAAGGAGAGGGGTTTTTTGGACATGTTTTGCGTATAAAGAATCTTGTCGTAATATATTTTGTTATGTACCACAGATTGGATTGGAATTGGTTTCGAATTTGGTGAATTAATTAATCATGACGACAGGATATGTTTACGTTATGATAAAGTATCACACATGATACTACATGATACATGATCATATCGAAGGAATATCGTCTACAATTTTTCAGGTGTGTTTGTTTTTTTTTTCTTCTAATCTGCCCAGTTATTCAGAAGATAAGCGCTACACTTGTACCGCGGTGACAAGCAAAAACAAGTGGATCAAAAGAAAGATACGAGAAGAGAGTGCCCGGAGTTGAGCCGATATTTAAGCAATGTCTTCGCCGATTAAGCATTTATTGTAGCTACGCCCATGGGACAGTGCTCTGTTGTACTGAGGCTTCAACTCGTGAACATTGACTAAATAATCACGACTGCTATCTATTTGGCTACTTGGTTGAGAGTGGTGGTACTTTTCTTTTAAAAAGGACCCTCATCCACAACTGCAATATTAATTTCAGACCAAAAACGTGTGGTGTCAACCATCATATCAGTTTCCTTATCCCCAAGAACAGTAATTCTTCCTAACTATCAATATGCGCAGTCGCACTTTTTCAAAACAAAGCGTTATATAAGAGAGAAGTGGAAAAGTGGTCCGATCCAAATCATTTTTTAATAGCGTTCTTTTTTGGCCTTGGTCCTTTACGCTGAACACAAGAAAACATTCACGCTTGAAGAAGAAAATGATTCCGAACCTTCAAAACCTTTTTAAGAAATGCATTGTGAAATAACCAAAGAACTTAAGTTCAAAGGGAACTTCAAAGACTCATACGGTTAAGGAAGGTTGACTTTTATAATTTTTCAGCAACTGAGATTTGGTGCGTCAACTCTAAGCACCCAAGTGGCACTCCTCTTATTCTTTACTATTAAAATCATTGTCGTGTAATTGGTTGACCGTGCTAAAAAAAAGGATTCAAGTACAAGGCTCTAAATTCTTCTCGCATAGTTCACGTTAAGGGCTCGAGTGTGTTCAAAACCCCATGTCTCGTTACGTACATTGTTACAAAAAAGCCATATACAATAATTTGAGTCGTCATGAAAATTATTCGATTTTTTAAGAAATTCAATTGTAAAGAAGGAGAAAACGAAGTACGTATTCATGGCGCATTACCTGCGACATGCAGCTGGCGACTGCCGCAAAGATTAACTACAAATGCAGAAATTTAGCGGAAAAACGGCAAAATGCTTGTACAAGAGTCTATAAGGAGAATATTTGCGGAACGCAGAATCAGTCGATAAAAAATCGTAAACGAGCCGAAATGTGAATCGAGTTAGTCCAAAAATGAATCGTCAAAGTCGAGTCAAGGGAGTTGAATTGCATTAGTCGAATGAACCGGATCAGAACGAGAATTATAGGCTTGTAAATATAAGTTCCTGTAAATAATTTGTAAATACATTTCCTAATTTTGTAAATAAAACCTAGACTATCCTAAAAATCACAATTCAACGACACGAACCTAATTTCAAATGGAGTTAGGAAGAAAACTTAACAATTCACGAAACTCATCATTGCTAATATGGTGTTGGAAGTATGTGGTATGGAAGTCTTGATTATTGCTAAGAAGATATTTAAGAGTATATAGACTACACATAAGACTATATGTAAGAATATATTTAATACATTTAAAAAACTGAAAAGACGTTTACCTTAGGGTAAGATTCTTAGCGCTCTTTAGCGAAATTTATTTATGATCACAAAATTAAAATGCATGGAATTTGTTATTTGGCATAGTTTCACATTTTATTACATTAGATTTTCGTTAATTGTTTTTTTTTTTTTTTTTTTTTTTAAATAATATGTAATACAAAAAATTCTCACTTTACTATCTACAAAATAACAAAAAAAAAACAAAAAAAAGAAAAAAACAAAGGCATAAAAGTAAATCTATAACAAATTTTGCATGTAATACTCGTATGTACAAATATTTATATACTACTTAAGCTTTACGTGATCGATTTATAGATTTATTCTATTGGAAATCGTATTGAAAATAATTTTGAGAAATTTCAGATAAATTACAAAATCCAACCGAACGTGGTGTTTATAGGCATTTTTTAAGGCAATTCTTCACTACATTTTCGATGGGACACATTAAACTCTTAATACAAACCTAACAATATTTGTTTCTTAGGCTCATTTAAATGAAGAGGATTAAAAATGAATATTTAAATAATAATAATGAACTTTTTATCGAAATTTGATATTAGAAATATTTTAAAACTCTAACGTAAAAACACATATAGAACACCCAATATAATGTAAAACTATTTAGACCCCTAAGGGTACGGCATGGAACGCTTAAAAGGCCACTATTTGATTGAATTGGTCCATTTATACCGATAATATATTGCGCCTATGTATAAGAGATGCGACATATTTTTAGAAATCCGGGTTGTATACGATTAGTTATGTTTCGAAAATCGAAAGGGTAAACGTGTACTTTCCTATGGATTTTACCTTTTTGGGTTTCGAAACGACGGAGAAATGCTTTGCCATCTCAAAAAGTTTATGCCCGGTAGGCGAAAAGACTATCGAGAATTTAAAAATTCTATATTCCACGGGAAAGAACATCACTTTTAAAAGATCAACTGTTTTGAAACTCTCAGAAATCTTTGGTGGTATTTTTATATCAATTGCTCGCTAACTTTCTTTACAGACATCTTAGATTTCAAATGCTTTAATTGATTAATAGATGTTTCCGCGTATTTCGATCAGCGACATCTATTGGTAAAAATGATAAAATAATGCGAAATATTAAATTGAACGATTTTGACCTTTCCATACAGAGAACAACAGTTTTCCATTTTCTATTTAGTATTATTGGACGCAGACGTTGATAATGGGAAGGTCAAAATTGCATTTTCACCATTCAAACACTTTTAGAAGCTTATGGTGATCCTGCTCCAACCATCATATATCCCCATACGCCCATAAATCAATTGTCGGTCTTGGTTTCAAAGTGGCTTAAAAGTGGTAATTTTGATGTCAATGTCAAAGCACGACCTGGAGGACCAGTGGACTTGGAAGACAATGATTTACAAGGCTTATTGGAAGAAAACGCAGTGGAAGCTCTTAATCAACTTCCGACTTCCAGGAAGTTAGCACGTCTACGTGCGATGAAAAAGATCCAAAAGATGGCAAACGGCTATCAACCGAATTGCTATTTCGAACCGCTTCAACATCGAGCAACATCATTGCCCATCAGGCAAAAAAAAAGAAGAGTACTTTGTGGCAATGAAAATTGGATCCAGGGGGCCCACCCGTATTGACACCGAAGAGGAGTGTTCATAGCCTTAAAGTTTTGCTCTGCATATAGTGGGATTAGCAACGTGTAATGTATTACGATGCGCTAAGAACAGCTGAAACTGTTGCTTCGAATGTCTGCCGACGTTAATTAAACAAATTGAACAATGCATTGTTGTAAAAAAGACCACCCATTGTGGTTAACAGACGCAAAATCATCCTCTTGCGTGACAACGCTCGGCCAAACGTTGCAAGGATACATTTTTGCAACTCGATAGGGAAGCTCTGCCACATCCAGCGTTCTCACCAGATATAGTCCCTTCTGATTACCTCTTGTTCAGATTGAAGCAACGTGGTTCGAAATGCCGAAATGGGTCGATGATGTGGTGATCCAATCAATATCTTTCGTTGGAGACGGTGTCGGCACGCTTCCCCACAGATGGGGAAAAGTTGTAGACAACTTTGGAAAATATTTTGATTAATATATATTATACCAGTTTTTCTCAATAAATGTCTTGTTGAAGTAAAAGATTATCAAAACGCATGGAAGCACCTAATAATATCTCCTTCTTCTGTGAGTTAGCAAATCAACAAACAGATGATTCGCTAAATTGAGTGGAAAGGTCCAATGACCTAGTAAATATTGGATGCCTATAGGAAGATAGGAACTCTGTAAGATAAGCGAAAGGAAACAACAAAAACCTATACCGGTATAGATAGATAATAAGGCAGCGCAAGTTTTCAGTTTAAGCGCAATCATCAGTAAGAAGAGATTCAATAAAGCGAAAGAAGATGAAAATTTTACGGTCCAAGCATTTCGCCCTGATCGGTCAATCGTCATTGGCATCAATTTTATCCCAACATAACCTTAACATTTATTAATGAACTAAATCTCTAAAAACGTGCACAAAGACACATTTTATATTTATGTATGCATAGGTATGTACGTACGAAACATTACGTAATAATAATGCTACGACAGCGACTTGAAACCCTTTGGAAGCTGACAGCTGCTATCGCACTGCGCTATGAATAACACTTATCTAGGAATGCTCAACGAGTAGTTGGAAAATTTAGCAGATAGTGTGATATTTTGACGCCTAATTTTGACGCGTGATTTCAAGAAATTTGGGCATAAGAAATACTTTTTAAATTTTAAACTATACATTTGTGTCGATGGCGAACTTTTCAAAATCAGATATAAACGCAACTACAAAATTGCACAAAGCTTGTGCGGATAACATATAAAAGTCTGTTGCATGTATGTATTTGTATAAAGCGTACTATTATAAAACATGTTTTTTTTTTTTTGTTTTTTTTTTTTTTTTATTTTTTTTTACAAACAACCATTGCCCCAACAAGCACACCATGGTATTTTACCCCCTGTATGAGAACTAACTGATAATTTACGTCGTTGCGAGCGCATACTGAAGCTGGTGGAAGATTCACGTGATGAGGCTAAACTGTTCGAATTACGATCTGAGCATGGGACTACAACTTCATGGTTACTATCTTGTCGTGCATGATGGCCGCGATGAGTATTTATATTATTCGTCAGGGAAGAACTATGTTGATGATGATGATGATTATGATGATGATGAAGAGTAGTGCTTGTGCTAACAGCACTCGCGCGTTGATTATTGTGGGCTACGGTACCGTCAGAATGGCGACGTGCACATTTCGAACGCATTACATTGGCAGCAGCACACGCCATTTCAGCGGCCGTAGCTCGGATAGTATCGTGATTAGATTTACGTTGATTTTGCGTACAACCATCATAATGCGGTATACTACTGTCCGATGCACGGTTATGCGAAAATGCACTTGGACTATTTATTGATATAGTTGGTGTTGTGATCTTGTTGAATGCCCTCGTCTCTTCATTTTTATGCACGGAATGTGGAGAGTTTGGTGTACTATGACTACTTTGCTTTAAATTACTTAGCGTTGGATTCGGAGTTATTGAAGGCAAATCAGAACAACTATTCGTTGTTGTCGTTGTTTTTACTCCATTTGTGTTAAGACTCTGGTTCCTAACCGCGAGCATATTTGCCGAAGAGTTTGCATTATTTGTATCACTACATACTACTATAGAAACACGACGAGATTTCCGTTTCGCTATATCTGCCGGCTCTTGCAAAACTTCTTCATCCGAACTTTTGACCGTTTCACCGAATTTTTCAATCCCGTTACCATCACAACTATCATCATCATGCATTGGTTCGATATCCAATGATTTCGTCAGATGACTAGGGGCTGAGCGAAATAAAGCTCTTTTCGCTGCTGCCCCAGCTAACGATGAATATACCGGATTTTTAGAGTTATTGGTATCGCTGAATAAATGAGATGAATTCGTAGCCGAATAGCTGCGTGCTAATTCCGGAGGCGACGTATGCACCCTTTCTTGTGGTGCGGGCGCAACAGATTGTTCATCGGCAGGAACATTTATTTTTATCGGAGATAGTGTCAAATCGCCTTCCTCTTGCGGAGTATTTATCACGGGTAAGGTTTGTGTGGCTGTGGCTGCCACAGATGGTAAAGTGCTTCTTTTAATTATTTCTTCGCTTAAACGATCAATTGATAAGTATTCACGATTATCAGGAAAGGGTAGCATAGCATCGGGTACATTTGGCGATGGACTGTTTGTGCGGTCCTTTTCCAACGATCGCGTTCTTCTCAAAGTTGTACAATTACTCGAATTATCGTTTGATATAATTTTCACTGTTGATACGAACGACGCCGTCGTATTTAAATTTGTCACTTTTGTCGGTTTTATAATCGGTGTCTCACCATCGTATGTCAATAATAAATTCATTTCGGATTTGTAAGGTTTATTATTTTTATTGCTTTGCTGTAACGAGGTGATTTTATTTTCAGTAACTTCAAGAGAATTTCGATTTAGATTTTCTATCGGTTGATCTTTTTTCAATTGCAAGGTTAAAATATCCTCCGAAATGGCGTCGATATCGTTAAGGATCGCTTCCAAATTAATTGAATCCGTCTGAAAAAGTAAAACATAATTAAAAAAATTCAAAATTAAGGTCTCAAAGATTTTGCCATCATTTCGTAACGAAAACTCAACAGCGTTTAATATCTTTACTTTGTTTCGATTCGATTCGATTGAAATGTTTTTCTTAATATCGTATAGTAACTGGTCAGATAAGGTTTGCAATTAACCAGACGAAACCCATTGGTTACATGTTAGCGATAGCTTGCGCCCCGCAGGTTCCACGGCATTCCTGCATCACTTAGAGGGCCTATACTAAAGCTGGAATATCACATATTAGAATTTGTTTATAATCAAAGGGCGCCCCCCCCCCCCCTCCGGATATTTAACATGTCTAGTTGTCTATTGTACCCGTGAATTTGGGGCACGGTAAACTCTGTACGCAGCATTCGATGTCTTTATCTCTCCCACGCCGACTTTCCGTGCGCATTAAGAAATAGAAAGGCCATCCCTTGGGTATGCGACTTATAAAGTTCTCCATGCACCCATATTTCGGGTTACAATGCCATTGCTCCACTTTTCTCATAGATACTCCAAGCATTAGGATAATTCATCCACATTTTTCCTTACGGATTTTAAATGTGTAAGGATCAGACAGATCAATGCTAGTCATGCAATCACAGTACTACTTCTCTGGAACGATGCCTGAAATCTGCGATAAAACTTTAGGCATCGTAGTATCTGAGTAAAAAGAAAATTAGACTTGCAAGCGGACGACTTCTCCATAGTGGGTTTTCCTTGCAGGGAAAAAGTCATTGGGCAAGCAGATAGAGGGATGCCATGAAGTAAATTCAGAAACACACTTCCGCTTATGAAATTTTCTCTGCATGCTGCGAAAATCAAATTTCCGTTTTTATAAGAAACTTTCTTTTCGGATAACGAAGCCTAGGTATCCGGAAAGAAAATACCATCAACTGCTTCCGATTTACAGTTTCGCTTGCGGTGACCTCAAAGCGCGCCCATATGAGTTTGATATAACTTTTTTTTCATACTCTGCCCCACTTGCAGGGTACGTTAAGTTTTTGCGGATGCATGCAACACCGAGAATAGCTTAGTATAGACGCAAGCTTTTATTTTACTGAACGGTTAAGAGTCATTTTCAGAATCGATCTAAGCTTGTCTGTCCATTCGTCTGTTGTAATTTCTTATGTTTTGGCCCAAGGAAAAAAATCTTTCGGAACGGATCACTCTTTCGACCACTTCCCACATAAAAAGTTATTTTACAAATAATCAAGCATTAAACATCAATAACTGTAGAGTAGTGCAGGCCCTGCTTTGCCATTATTTTTTTACTTATGTAGGAAAAAAAAGAGAAAAGCGAGAAGGACAAGGTTTATGTATTTTTGTTATCTTGTTATTACATTTTAATTACTGGTCTTCCTATACGTCATTGTGCTCGAGGAGTAGTTGCTTTAATGGGAAGGCGATTATTAGCTTTTATTTCGCACAACCGACTCTTCACTGCGCTCAATATCAATTGAACTTTTGCTATTACGGTTAAATGAAAGTAAGTCGATGTTAATTAATTGAATAAATCAAAGGAAATTATTATTAATAGGACGGCTTAATATTTCTAACTTAGCTTAGGCTATTAATGTTGTGACTAAGCTGTTTAAAGGCTTCGGTTATTTCATAATAAGAGTGCAATAAATTGAACGCATATTCACACAAGAATGTTCAAACAAGATTATCTTGCTGCACGACCAGTTACACAAACTAATTTTTAAAAAAATTGAACATTAATTTTAAAAAACGTCACGAATTATTTTAGTCAAACTACTGACCCTTGCTGGCAACAATTGTTTCTTATCTTTCTAGCAAAACATGGGCTCTTGAACATGTTCATCGGTCTACGCGCCAATTCGTCTGATTGTTTCTCTGCCTGATCGTCCGTCTATTAGTTTGCTTATCTATTATCTTAAGCGTCTTCCAATTCCATAAATTTAAACGAAAAGCTAGTCCATATAATCATGGCCAATGAGTAATAGTTCACTAAAAACTGTTATAATACGTAAGCACAAGGAAGTATGCATTAGAAGACGCTTAAGAAGATATATAAAGACACTTAATCCCAAAAGGTCTAGAACCTCATATGGTGAACCACTATCGTCGACACTCTTGCTATACCTATGTACAGCAAGCGTTCTATCGAGATAACGCCTTTAAAATAAGTGTCCGGCTTGCTTGTGGGTTGCCAACATACTGTACGACTGTACGATTACCATGACAAGTTCCTCTTTAACAGCGCTATGCGCTGTTAAGACAATCTGTCCATAGTCATCTTTACCCGCTTTCCAGACGTTCTTACATTTAAGTTGAATGTACGGAAGGTGCGTACACAACTTGGCTTTTAAGCGTACTCCAGTTACTGAGTACGCAAAGTCGACATTTTACCACCACAGTAAGTCTCCCTAATCAATTCGTAGAAATTCTTCTCAATACATATCTTGTAGCATCCAGTTAGAGAAAAGAAAAAAAATAAAAGCAAATTTTGAGCCTCTCTTCAAGCTCACCTGACATTCCGAATCCATAGCAAAGCTATTGCTTGACTTATCTATTTTCATTGCTCTTAAAGTATAACATGACGCTGATACCAATATAGACGGTATGATTGTTGTTGTCGTTGTTGTTGCCATGATAGGTTTAGTAACTGCAGGTGCGGTAATTAAATTATGACCAGATTTTTGTGCGATTGCATAAACAGGCTCATGGGGCTTAGTAAAATGATTTGAGTTCACCAAGTTAGACCGATGGCCGTCAATTTTAGTACAAGCGTTTGCGGTAGTAAAAGCAGTGGTGGTAGTTTTAGTGATAGTAGTGGTAATGGCTACAGTGCAGGTAAGACATGTGGTAGACCTTAAATGTAAAGGTAATAACTGTAAGTTTAACGCGTTGCAGGCCACTAAAGCGGCAGTTAGGGTTGAATTGCAAGCAGCAGAGCTTTCAATCAGATTGACACTTAAAGCGTTGTTGCTACTGCTACGATAGGTATTCTTAAGCGAGCATCCCGCGTTGTTAATATGTTCTTCGTGATGCTCGTAGCGCTGATGTTGAAATGGATTTTTACGTCTAAAGAAACGCGGACTTACTTGTGCTGCGGGGAATTGTTTTCTTTGAGGTACTGGTGGCGGTTGGGAGGAAATAGATGTTTTCGTACATCGATACGGTGTAGCTAGACCATTCGTTACGTACAAATCAGGCGGTTCACATTTCCTCTTTTCATGTTGTAATGAATATTTGTTGCTAAAGGTCGTCGGCGATGTCGCAGCCAAAAGCATCGACGAAGAAGGCAGGCATCGCTGATTTGCTAACGCTGTATTTAGTTTAAGCTTTGGCCGTAAAGGCGCAAAGAAATGTTTAGGGGTTTCCACGTTATCGATGCCAGATACTGTCACAATAGCAACAGTTTCAGTTTGCTGCGAAGCAGAGGAAGTTGTGATTATTTCGTTTACATTGCTCTCTGCTATGGGACCTGTAGTTGCGATGGCGGTAATGCCGCTTACAGGCTGAAAAGTACTTAAAGTTTGTGCGGTCGAACGTTTTTGAGCAAAAGGAGATTGTAAGTTATAATCCCAACCATTGGTATGACGTACTAAAGGTTTTTCGGCACCGGCGATTGAAGGACTCTCTCCAGAAGTTTCTAAACAATGAGAGAAAAAGAAGATAATAGAAGACTTTAGAAACATCATCCAATGTAGTCGAATGTTTTTATAAGAAATTATACCATTTCTAGGATTTAAATGCTGAGAGACAATATTTTCAAAATACGACAAGGGTGGCACGGTAGCTTGCAAATCGCTTAACTCATTTGCAACCAATTCAATAGGAGTAAGAGGAGTTAAAGGTCCCACAAAACTAGGAAGTGTCGTCTCCGAACCGTATATATCGGGTGTATAACCGAAAAGATTTTCATTTTGTTGGGCGAGTGTATGCTCAATATTACTTAGAGTCTCTTCAGATACAACCGATAAATGATCAAAGATACTTTTATTTGCCGACTCTTCGGTCTTGCAAATCGTTGTTGTTGTTGTGAGCTTTACATCTTCGCTTGCTGCACTTTCCTCCTCGTTATTGGAATTTTCCGCTTTAATAATATCCTCAGCAGCATCATCATCATCATCACCGCAACAACATGGTCCAGTACAGGAATCTGAATCCTATCATTTAAATATTTTTATTAATAATAAGCGACAAGGTAACGTATGAAATCATAAATCTGTCACTGCTTACCTCACTATTATAATTGTTATGCATAGTCTCACAACCGCAAATCCTAGCCCCAGCTTCACCGTCGTCAATATTGCAACAGCAATGATGTTCATTGGTCGCATTAGTGCTAGCACCACTACAGCGTATAGCGCAACCTCCTTGATCATGCTCCAAGAATTTCGCTTTAACTGTTTTATTAAGACGGTCGCATTCATCCCGTAAGATCCATATTTCACGTCGTAATAACTCATTTTCTTTTTTCAAACGTTTAATATCGGATTGACCTATAATCGAAAAAATATTGCTTTAGGAAACTATTTATATTATCATAATATTTATACGTTTGTATATATATGTTTAAAATTTCACACAACAACACATGTACTTTTTCTCGCTTTCATTTCCTAGAACATGATACCTCGTGCGTATATAAATCAAATAACAGATTGCCTATGCGCACATAAGTAATTCATCATCTTATTATGTGTTTATTTTATAATTTTAAAATCTGTTTTATGTACAAAAATGAATTCTAATAATTTCAACATTATTTAGAAACTATTCGCCATAAATATGTAAAAATTCTTCAACATAGGAACAATTTCCGCAAAGTTACTAACGATATTTTGTAATATCTCACCCAAAACTTTCCTCAGATATTTATGGATAAAATAAATAACACATGAGCTAAGCCAAATCAATATTGGAGTATGCCTGCATGGTGTGCTCTCTTTCCAACGAATGCTACGTAGAGCCAATTGAATCCGTTCGAAAGCAATTCTTGCTTCTTGGCCTTAGAACTTTGGTTTGGGACTCGCTTGTCTCTTTGCCGCCTTTTTGAAAATGGATTGCTTCCGTTAGGCTTCTGCACCTGCGCCAATATGTCCAAAGTCTTTTTTCTGTAAGCACACAATACGGTATACGGCATACGATGTATGGCGTTATTTCTTTTTAAAGTGGAATTTCAGTTTCCTATCAGATAGGGCAAAGACCCAGCTTTGGCTCATCAATTGCTGCCCGTGGGCATTCCAAACATGTGAGATATTCTCCCCGACATGGGATCCAAAGAAAAAAAGCCAATCTTCTTGTCGAAGCCAGAAATCTTAATGCGATTCTCGCTTCCGTTAGAGGTCTCTGTTGGTAATCGTTACAATAGTCGCCAATTCGAAGCCATACGAGCCGACTTCGCAGGCAATAGTCTTTCTAATTCCATGTCATACTTTACTTTTACATACTTTAACACTTTTTTACACATCCAGTTGTTAATTTGCAGAAGAAGAAGACCTTAAACGCCAAGATAGAACTTAATAAACGAGGAATACGTAAAAATAACTTGAGGCTAAACCTTGGAACAAAACGAACTCTTAAATTTCAGCACATATTACGACAAATTTGCCACATTCATCCAATTTAATAGATATCGCAAAATTTAATTCCCAGGCTCCCATATTATTCATACCACAGAAATTTGAAATTCCTTGTGCTTTGTGTTCTGCGATATATCTCTTATCAGTGAAATAAATTCCGTTTGTCAGCAATAAATAAAAGTTTATAATTTCTGTAAAATTATTTACAAAGGTATATTAAGTTTGTGCGGGCATCCAAAAGAACTTCAAGTCGGCCCCACTTTTTAATATGCTTATCGATTCAGAATCTCTTTCTTTCAGAGTCATTTTCTGAATCGATCTAAGCATGTCTGTCCATCCGTCCGTCTTGTTTTCTTCCGTTGAAAATGCAGGTCGCAGTTTTCGAAATATTGTGGCGAAATTTATTCAAGGACGAACGCCATTAAAACTAGTTCGGATCGGATCACTTTTTCGGCCACGTCTAATGTAAGGGCTCCTTTTGAAAATCATATTAAGCAAAATGGTGAGCGACGCCCCACTGTTGGGAATTTTACTAGTTAGTCGTAATTAATTAATTTTACCTAATATGGGTACTTTATCCTGCTTATGTCGAGTATACTCGTTTTTTTTTTTGAAAATCAATTAAATCTTTAAAAAGTTACTATAATTAACTTATAATTGTTCACAAATGCAAGAAAAAATTTAATTAATAATGAAAAAAGCATACTTTGATATAGCAATTTATTGATTTCCACTACAAATGTAATTAAGGAAAGAAAAAAAAAACAAGTTAATAAAATACCATTCATTCTTTCGTCTAAAAATTGCTTTTATGATATACGATATAAACGAGTAGACGAACGGTTTATCCAATCAATCATTTCACTCACCTCTTTCAACTTCAGCATTAATGTTGATGGTACGCAATCTTAACTCTTCATTTTCGTAAATCATGCCACGTGATGACTTTCTGTCCAATCTGCAAACAATAAATACTCAACATGATAAAAAAAAAAAAAAAATGAAAAAGAAGAGCAACAATAGAAAACGATTTGCAATTAATTAAAAAATTTCTTTTTCTCCCAATTTTCTCTCTACTCTTACAAATGGCAGATATCATTAATATGAATTTCAAGTATAAAAAAGAAAGGGGGGCAAAAAAAGAACGAATCTCTGTGTTTAAAAACCATTATAAAATTTGTACAAAAGTATTTTGGATAATTTAATACTAAAATCAATTAAAAACGTCCTTTGTTTTATAATACAAGCCGAGATGTCACTTTACTAAAAGGACGCACATTTATATGTCGAGTTATTACAAATGATACAGTAGCGGCAAGCGAAATACCTTTACATCACTAGACGCTTAATAAAGTTATTCATATAACGAATTTTTCAAATAAGAAGTGGTCCGCATTGAACCATCTTGAAGAGCGTTCATACTTGGCCCAAAATACGTTAGTTTACCAAATTTCATCAAAATATCTCAAAAATTTCGAAGAAACCAAGATGGACAGAGGGACAGATTAGAATGCACCCGAAAGTAATACTGAAGCGATCGAAATTTCTAAAAATTGCGACCTGTAGATTGAACACAAATAAACTAGACGGACAGATGGAGAGTCAAGTTAACTATAACTATAACAAATGATGACTCTATCTAAAGTTCTTCTGGATATTGCGTATACCCACACATAGTTAATATACTCTTGTAGCGCAATACTAATTATCGGTTTTACTTTAAATAAATGCCTATAAAATGAAGACTTGAAATATATACAATGTAATCGATTGGTCCATTTTTGCAATTAAATATCGTACATTAACTGGTGATAGCTAGAAATTTCGTTCCTTTCGTGGGATAGAAAGATCTTTCTCTCTCATGAAATATATTTCTGGTAGATCAGTATGAGATTCTAAGAAGACTCAATAGTTGTTTGAATTAAAAAAATCAAACCGCTCACTGCCATGCCCACGACATTAAGCCAAAAAATTATAACTTACTAGTCCTGGCCTCTTACAGAGTACAATTATTAAAAAGATGAAATTGAAGATAAACTTCCCTCTAAAGCATATATAGATTTTTTCTCCCGGCGTTTCTTTTGAAATCGTTTTGTCTACAACGGATTTTAAGGCAAGTAAAAACACTTCAGTGTGTTAAGGTGTGCCAGTAGATACCCTGCAGAGGGCACTTTTCAAAATAGACTTTTTATGAGAAGTAGTCGAAAAAAAAGTTAAACCATTTTCAATACCGTTCTTCCTTGGACCAAAATAGACAGCAAAAAACAGATAAACAAGTCAGTGAATCAAATTTCATCAAAATATCTCATAAGGTAAGACTTATGGGTTGAACGCAAGCAAATAAGACGAACGGGCGGACGGACAGACAAGGTCACATCGATTCAAAAAGTGATTTTGTATCACTTCTGCTGGATTTTGTATAAATCCGTGCATAATTATTATGCTCTTGTAAGCTTAAGTTAAACTTTAGAAAAAGAAAAAGAAAGATTAGACTTACTTGCCTGCCTTCTCTGAACGCTTACTAAACCTTCTTTCAATATTTGCATTTTGCTGACGTGCATAGTTTGAGTTATGCATTTAAGGTATAAAGGCAGTTTGTTTACGTTTTCGTTTGCGAATAAATCAATTAAAATTATTTCAATGTTACATAATCGAGACCATCTTGTTTGTTTTTTTCGATCACAGCTTTCGTTTCTTGGTGTTGCATGTATATATTGCGTGTATATATGTATACAATAACGTTTCAATCACTGCCAATACTAAAGCATTATTTGCTCAGCCATTGATATGTATTTTTAAAGTGTATTTAAAAATACTTTTTTATTAATTTTTATTTTTATTTTTTTCTTTAATTTTTTTATTTTTTTTTTGAAAAAACTTTTTTCTTTTTTTTTTTTTTTTTTTTTTGTTTTAAAGCCTATTACAAAGATTTCATTTAAAAAAAAATTATGTATTTTCTATTTATTATTTATATACGAGAAATAGATTTTTTGGAATTACACTATATTTTTTTTTTTGGTTTTTTTTTTTTTTTTTAATGTAGTCTAACATAGAGATGCGTGCTTTCGATATTTACATCACACTCATGTTCTATACGCTGGTCGCATTAGACTACAAATAATAATTTTCATCAATTTTCCTTTGGCGTTGGTGTCGGACTAAAAATTCATTGCCATGCAACAACAAGAAATCAACTTGAGTCAAATAGTAAACAAAAAAAAAAAAAAAAAAAAAGGAAAACACCATAAAAGAATAAATTAAAAGAAAAAAAAAAAAAAAACACGCAAATGTTTTAATATTCTATAAAGATGTATGTGCATGTATGACTTAAAAAGAAAAAAAAAAGATAGAATAAAAGAATACTTGGATATAAAAACAATATATCGAATAAAACCAACAAATGCAAAATCATCTTTTACCAACAGTCTCGATTTTGTAAAACTTTCAAGCATAAAATATTTTGCGTTCATGTGTCCAGCTTGTGGTGGAATCTACATTTTAAGTAAACATCGGTATTTATTAGAGAAATAAGATGGAATGCATGCTGTTACAATTATTTCGAATTCTATGAGAAAAACTTAATTGATTGTTAAAATTATACAGAAATGATATTCGGTTTGGGTCGAATTTTCTATCACCGTTAGCTGTTAGCATACAATATTTTAAACAAAAGTCCCTTTACTCTATAGAATTCTATCATATATCTCGTGCATATTTCAAAATATAAAACATGCCAACACAACTTTGATATGTCGATCGTATATTTCAAAGCATCTTATCTGATCGCATTTAAGGTAATTATGTTGACAAAATATCATGCGACATATCAACCGTATATCCCACCCAGCTACGCTCGTCTCCTATATATTTCAAAACATACTTATACTTAACCGCACTCTAGATCGTACAAGACATCAAGCACCTCATATATATTAAAAAAATTCAACAGGGTAGCACTGAAGACAAATCTGCTATCTACTCTCTCAAAACTTGACAGCATTTAATGTAGTTGTTCTGTCACAACACTACTCGATACGTCAATCGCACATCTTATCGTCCTCCTTTGTATATATTTCAAAGTCGGGAACTTGGCAGCATATAAAGTAATTGTATTGACTCAACGCCCCTCTATATTCCGATCGTACATGATAACGCGCACTAAGCATATATTACGAAACATACAAACTAGGCAGCACTGAAGATGGTTGTGCTATCTATAGTTGGTCACCTAAGGTAGTTATGCTTTCAAAATACCATTGGATACATCAATCGCACATCTTATCGTTCTCGCGTGCACATATTTCAAAACATGAAGCTTAGCAACACTTAAGGCAATTGTGCTATCTAAATCCTACTCTATGTACCGATCGAGTATCGCATCGGCCATTTCGTATGCATATCGAAAAAGAGATCTGTGAAGGAAATGGCATCCTTACCGTACATCACCTAAAGTAATTTTAGTAATATAAAAGCTAAATATCATTACCGGATACTGTGCGTTATTTTCACGTGAAATCAATAGAATTTCTTTTATTCCATTAATTTTTTATCCTAGCCATATCCGATGCGTCTAGGTAGGCCATGAAATAATAGCTAATAGCCCATAAGTAAGATCAATTTTGTATTAGGTTACCGAGTAGGTAGAGTTAAAAGTGCGGCAATTAAAGTTATATGCTCAGCAGGAGTACGGATCGTAGGTTTAACCAAAAGCCCATGGACAGATGTGCCACAGAGGACGATAAGCGAAGAGACAGTTGCCATGTTATATATGAAAATTTGAAATATATCGGACAGATCTGTATATTTTTAACTCTTCTTCCTTTCACTCCACTTTTTTAATTTGTAATATCGGCTAAGTTAAGCCAGAGTAAAGATTAATGATAATCCTTACTCTCTGATATAACAAATAACGGCTCAATCTATTGCATTATCTCGTGTTCATGCTAAAGGAATATTTCTATATTACTCAAAGTGTATTTGAATGATATGATACAAGACTTTGGCAAACTTGATGAAACGCTTTGTAATGAATATGAAAGCAGGCACATGTAGTGCACGTACGTTGGCAAGATACATTGTTATAAATGAAAGGCATATTTTGGCTATCGACTGAAACAGGTTTCTTTCATCAGTATTTTGCTTTTTTTTTTTTTCGATTTCATATTTATTTCATTTTATTTTTATACTCATCACTGGAAATTGGGAAATACGCAGAGTTTTTTTAACAAGGGGTGTTACATTTTAAATCAATCATCCAAAAGCGCCATTGTTTCAGGAGATATAAGGCAGATGGCGCCATCGAATTAAAAATAAACATCGCTTATATTCATTACATCCTTTTTGGCTCGAAACTGATTGTCGACATCGTTCGATAACGTATTCATTCCCAGTAATTATAGAGACTATATAAGACAAATTACGATTGACTTATGCCGGCAACTTATTTAACGAACTAAACTGTTACACATTGTGATTGAAGAGCTTATTTCACTGTTTCTTTTGGATCTTTCTAATCCTACACGCGATAGTTTTATCTGTATAACCAGTCGAATGAAAATTGTCTTTATCATGCAGGATAATCCGGAGGACTTTTAAGCGAAAGCCTGCAGTTCCCTAGATCGTATAGAAACCCGTCCGTCCAACTCATCTGTCGAAAGGCCGTTTATTGTACTCATTGCTAGACATTGAAATATATTACCTCTAAGTTTGAAATCCTTCGATAATCCCTTGAATACGTTTAAAGAAAGCTTGTTAGGGTAATATGATTACGTTATTAGCCATCTAACTGACTTGTACAATCACTTATGTTGTAGTTTCTTTTTGCATAAGAATTGCGTCTATGTAACTAGCTCTTAGGCCATAGGCCTTTAAGGCTTCCTAGCTACTTAATAAAATCAAATGAAATAAATATGGATTTGTTCGTGCATCAAGCAAGATCTAGAGGGCGTATATATCGCAAATGTCATCGAAAATGTACTAATTTTTACAAGTTGCACGAATCGGCTGAAAGGCGGTTATACGTTGCCGGTCCGAACATGCCGGAAAATTTAATATAACATCTTTTGCTAAAAGGCCACATAATAATTAGTGGTTCTTTGGTTCCTCACACATAGAAATATAAAGTATATGCTCAGTTGGAAACTTTTTTTCATTTAATCTTATAAATCCATAAAGGCAGATTGTTTGCCTTTTAATCAAAAAAGAACATACCATAGTTTGAAATCTACTTGAGATCTTAAATAAATTTATTCACATTATCCATTTATCGGTTCGACAAAGAGGCTGTCTGTTCTCTACTGCGAGAAGAAAAAATGCGTTTAAGATAGTCGAAGATTAAGCTTGCAACGTTCCCATGTAATCACAATCACAATATACGAAAACTTATCTATTAATCTAAAATTAACTTTGGTTCAAAACTATGCCTATGGCTATTGACAATTCCTGTGATGTAGCACGAAAAACAATAATTTATAATTTATGGCAAAAACAATTTCAAACATGATACAAATCATTTCTGGAATCATCCAAAAGCAAAAGAAAAGTCAATCAATAAACTGACACGCCCAAAGTTAGCAGCGTTTCGTTTAGATAAGGCATCCTATAAGTTGCTTTCTAAGCAATTATAACCCCTATACGCGTTACAACTATCTACAATAAATAACGTACTCTTGTTCTTGCGAAATAGCAGCAAAATAAGCTAATATCAAATTTCTGGACTCTACTCTTGTATTAAAATATTGCATCCTAGTTATCGCAGGTATTATATCTACTCTAGAGGAGATTCCAGTAGGAGACGCTACATTTTTCGTCAACTTGAGTTGCGAAATCGGGACCAAAAGTCCCTTTCATTTATAACATGTTTTCTATAGTCTTAGAACTTTTTTTACAGCAATCTGCCCATAATGAACATAACTGCCGACAGATTTTCCCCTTTTCGTACATTACGATTGCAACGTAAGTTGAGAATCATATATTTGGTCTTAAAATTTTCCAAACGCCTAACTAAAATCCCCAGCATAAATTTATAAGTCAGGGTAGTAATCATGTAAGTGACAGTCAGCTTTTGCCTTTGTATTCAGCCGGCTGAATACAATAGCTAAAGATACATTTTTCATAAGTATTATTCTATAAATACGAAAAAAATCAGCCACGCCCATCCTCGATTAGAGATTAATGCAAATTAGTCTTTTTCGGTTTTTTTTTAAGATAAGGAGAGTGGACTTAAAAAATTGGGTCGTAGCAGTATATACTTACTTGTTTTTAATTTACAGAATTACCTAAAAAATGCTGCCAATTTTCCTTAAAATATATGCGGAGCAAGCACATATAAAAAATTTTGACTTTCCCTTTCGTTTTCTGCTGCTTTTGCTAAAGAAGTGAAAACGAAAGCGAAGGTTAACTTTAAACTAACCGACTATACGTCCATGGTTTTCAATATATACGAAATATGATATGCAATATATATGGAACGATCTGTATCAAAATCGATTTATTTTAATAAAAAAAAAGTTTAAAGCGAAAATTTTATGTTAAAAGTGGGAAAAGAATTTATGCTCATGAGTTTCTTTTAGAAAAAATTTATGAGCAACAATTGCATATTTTAAAATACAAGTGAAAACATTGTAGACGGACTAGACCGACTTTTAAGTACCCTATGCCATATTGCCTGATACAATTCTTATTTTTGCCATAGAACACAAAGTTGTACCCTTTTTACTATTACGGAAGTGTAAAGTAACAATTATACCTCTTAGCAAATAAAGGCTCACTTTCCTTAAGAATGGTTGTGCCAAAGAGATTAAAAAATTGTGATACCTGTTGAAAATTCAGCATAGTTAATGTTTAGATCAAACTGCTGTCATGGGTCAATGTTCATCATAAAATATTAAAGATTAAACTTTTCTGCCCTAGAAAACAAAAATTTTTGTGCATATCTTAATATAGGATAAGATCCAAAAACCGTCATCAAAATTTTGTAGAGTTAATTTTTATATAAAACTGCTATTATGGTAACGTATTAAAGCCTTCTTCTTTGAAAAACAAAAATTTTCGTAAAACTCCTTATGTACAGTGGTCCAAATTTGGTACGGTAATTTTTTTATCTTAGATTACTATTATGGGTTAAGTTTCATCATAACATATTAAAATTTATACTTTTCTGCCTGACAATGAACTAATTTTCGTGAAAATCTCTACATAGGGTAAAATCGAAAATTCGTATGGTTGATTTTTTTATTTTAAATTACTACTATTACGATCTAATTTTGATTGGTGATCCAAAAATTACCCCAGCCGGTCCAAATTTTCCACATCCTTCTTCCACTATCTTCTTTTTTTAACGGCTTTTCAGAATAGGGCTTTATAAGGAGAGTGGTCGAAAAAGTGGCCCAATCCAAATCATTTTCAATAGCTTTCGTGGTTGGATGAAAGCACGTCATTATAACAAATTTCATCACAATATCTGAAAAATTGCGACGCGTGGGTTGAGCATAAGAAAATAAGAAGGACAGACACGAAGGCGTAGATTCGGAAAAAAGTTCTTATTTGACCGGTATATAAAGAGGCTTAGATGGATTCGAAAAAAGGTGCCGAATCGATCGGTATCACGACAGCTGGGTTTACCTTAAAATTAATATAATAATTGAATCGATTCTGATATTCTTGCCGTTCAATGCTTCCTAGTATTGAATATGTTTTTAAAGTCCTTTTAAAAGCTGAAGCCAAGAAATGCAATCAAAAACCTTACAATGGGCAACGCCCTATTATGAAATACCCTACATTACTTTGCTTAATGCACTTATTCATATAACGAATTTTCAAAGCAAGGCGTTATATTGGTGTTACAGTGGCGAAAAAGTGGTCCGATCTCAACAATTTTCAATAGCGGTCGCCTTCGAGCCCAAAACACATTGGTATACCAAATTAAATCAAAATTTCTCGCAAATTGCGACATGTAGGTCGAACTCAATAGATTAAGACGGACATATGGATAGACAAGCTTAGATGTAGATGATGGACATGATGGACAGATAGACAGTTTTGATTTCATAAACTAAGAACGGACGGGTGTGGAATGCTTTTGGCTAAGTTAATGTCATGATAATCATCTGTACGCTTCTTCTCAATAGAGGTTTGAAATGTCTTACCCATGATGTTAACCGACAAGGCGCACGGGAGATGCATTGAGAAAAGATAGAAAAATGGACAGTTGGCGAAATATCCTTGCAAAGAACTTGAGACCTATATTGCCAAAATGCTGTTCTGCTGGGTGCCGATGAGTTCCCAAGAAGTGTATTGGACATAAATTCGACATTTACGTGTTTTGCTTTTCAATACCGCACATTCGACTTTCGGCAGCGGAAACTTGCGATGAGACTCAATATTTACGTATATCGAAAATATTCTCCTTTAAAATTCTTAAATTTATTACCTTCTTAAAGCTATTTATTCTTCTCTATGTTTAATAAATAGAAAAAACCAATGTGCTTTTATACCCGAAGGATGAGGGGTATATTCATTTTGCCAAAACGTTTGCAAAGCCCAAAAAGAAACATCAGAGGTCCGACGGAGGTCCGACGAAGTATATATATTCCTGATCAGCATCAAATTCTAAATTGATTTAAGCACGTCCGTCTATCCGTCTACGTAATTATTATTGTAAACAATCTCCTGGCCGCAAAAATGAAGCTATCGACTTCAAATTTTGTAGAAACATTGAAAGTTCTTACACGCAAGTTAATATTGAAAATGGGCCGAAGCAAGATCACGCCCACAATATCACGTAAACTGTTTTCCAAAAGGAATGAAAAATTGGTTTTTTCCTCGTTACTCATAAACTATGCCAGACATATGCACAAAAATTGAACGCATATTCGATGGGCGATGCTGTAGCATTTGTGCACAGAAATAGAAAATATTCACCACGCCCACTCAATATTATAATGTATCAATATTTAATTGTTTTTTGAATACATTTATAGCACGCAGCTTCAACAAGCTTCAAAAGCTCCATAAAGTACGGAAATTCTTGGACAGCTTGTTTGTCTGTCCATCTGTCTGTCTACGTAATTTTGTAGTATTTGTGATAAACATTCTCCCGTTAGCCTAAAAATATACAAAAGAATTTGGAATTGACCTAAACTTCACAAAAGACACGCCTTCAACGCCCACATGCCTACACGAAAAAAAATTTTAGTTTGAAAATGGAAGAAATCAGCCGCGCCCACTCCATATTATAGAGCTTGAAAATTTTGTTCTGTTACTTCTTTTTTGGAATAACGCTCGTAGGTATAAGAGATTCGGTTCAGAGCGAATTTATTTTTTTTAATTGTTTCTTTTTTAATTCTTCCGGTTTGAAATTTCTTTTTTTTCTTATTGCTTATCATTCTTTGAAAGTAAAATTTTCAAAGCAAATTTTTCCGTACATTTTTTTTTTTTTTAAATGAGAGAATATATAGCAAATTTTTTTGAAAACATTAAAGAGTAATATATATATATATATATACGTATGTAATAAATAGATAGAGACATTTAAATTTACCTGCTGTTCAGTTTATAATGCGCATGCCGTCTTCGTTCTCGTAGCATTGCCGTTCGTTATTAATTCCCATAATACGGCAAAATATACAAACAAAAATGTATAACCGAAAAAATAAACAAAACGACAAAAAGTATAAATAGGAAAAATCAAAAAAAAAAAAAGAAAAAAAAACAAAAAAGAATAGAAGAGAAGAAGAAAACAAAATAGCAATTGGGTAAGCAGTTACCAAATAAGGCGCACAACAACAAAGTCGTGAATAGTTTAAAGTAAATATTTAAAAATAGAAGAAGAAGAAGAAAAAACAAAAGTCATGTCATGTTAGTGAAATTAATTTATATCTCAGAGCGATGTTTAAGTTAATGTGTTAAGGGATTTCCCTATATGCAATAATGAACTTTGGAAAGTAAATTTCGTGCGTAAAATATTTTTTTAGTAATTTGTCTTCTTCTTTTTTTTATCTACAAAAAAAAAGCATCAAATTTCGCATTTCGTTTTCGTATTGATAAACACACTTCCATTTATGAAATTTACCGTGCACACGAAAAAGTGATCCGATTTGAGCCATTTTTAGTGGCGTTCATACTTGGGTCAAAACACGCCGGTACATCTAAAGTCATCAAAATATCCCATTAAGCAGCGATCTGTAGACTGAACAGAAGAAGACAGGATAGACAGACGGACAGACAAAATTTGATCGGTATTATGAAGGATTGGTTTACCTCAAGTCCGCACCCTTTTACCCTCTCGCAGTTTTTTGATATGTTTTAAAGGACGCTAAAACCTATCAGAAAAATCTAATTTCATTACCCTGGTTAGGGGACATCACCTCGACATTCGCCAAAAACCGGCTCCCTCCATATACCCAAGAACGTAAAGGCAAAATATTGCAATGATGTTGCTAATGAAATATTCGAACTTATATACATAATGTTTTTGTTTCACTTGCTAATGAAATATTCGAATTTATATACAAAATGTTTTTGTCTCTTTTCAGCAAGTATGTTTAAGATTATGCATTATGCGGACATATTTGCAATATTAAAGCGTTTGCCCCTACATTTGCTTAAGAAGTTATATGTATGGTATTGAGTTGTCGTCAAACTTTCTATAGGCTAATAGATGGTATGTGTGTTATAAAAACATTTCCGACGATACCTTTGTTTTCTTCTTACGTTAACGGCTATGCTTACGCGTGGTCTTAAATTGTTCCTTATTAAATTGCAGGCAAAAGTCGCAGAGTGTCTTTCCCATTTTTAAAGTTCTCACCTTTCTTGAACCAAAAAGCAAAACTCATGAATCCACCTAAGTGAACCTAAGCCAAATTCGTCCAAATTAGACTCGGAAGGAGAGAGCTGGAGAACTAATCAACGTTATAACAATCTTTGTAATGTATCTTTGTTATGCAGCCCAAAAATGATCGCCATACATATGTAGTTCAAAGAAGTGGCAAAGAAGATTATAAATAAGCGGAAGACGAATCGATGTTGCTCTTTGATAAATCCTAAATGACACCTGCGCGGGATTTGTTTACAATCAACATAACGGTCATGACCGGGTTATGACAACAATTTGCTTCCAAAGAACTAAAGAACGCATCTCTGAAACATAGGCGTAATTTTTTTCAATTGAAGTTCAAAATTTCAGTACAATTACGCAATGGATTGGATTTTAAAAATTTCTTACATTCGTTAGATTGTGTCGTCCTGCTGTTTTTTGGCAATAGAATTGCTTTGCCGCATATTGAGTTCTTTTATTTCTTTTTCTTTATGGAGTTACAGTTTTGGGGAAAACCTCCCACGATTTCATGTTCATGTGTGTTTTTTTTTTTTTTTAATCTACTTGTAATATGTTGGGTGTGCACGCAGAATGGTACGCCTAATCATTTGAAAGGGTTTTCCTCTTCGTCTTTAAACAATAATTTCATAATTGAAAATAATTTCATCTTGAAAAATGTTTTGATTCCTGCTTTTTTGTGGGGTCTCTGTTGAATTGATTGTCTGCCGTTTCTCTTCTCTACCAGCGAAATATCTTTTTCTCGCGATTTTTTTTCAGCCATCTTTGAATTTATCTATTTACGTAACTCATAAGTATTAGTGCATACAGTGGGTGCTGTATGCATGGCTTAACAATTCCTGTGAGACGACAGTTGCAAAAAACTGGCCCTCGACAGTGATTGCCTTCATCTATATCGTTGCGAATGTGAAACCAAAGGCGACGTCTATCAAAACAACGTATGTAGTCTTTACATTCCAAGTATGTCCATATGTTGAAGCGATTTTCAACCAATTTCACTTCGGCTATTGAGGAGTAAATATTGTATTCAGATATAAAGTCAGGATGATCGATGTCATATAACATTTTGAGACGACAATTGGATATTTCGTTTTAGAGAAATGTACCGGCTTTTTAGTATACAACGACATGCTTGCCTTTAGCCTTACAATTTTCAGTCGCATAGATTTGCGGGTAAATGGCAACAAAAAAACTTCTTTTGAAGTTTATAGAGTTTGATATCTCACAATTATTCATAACACTGTTATACTCGGGTATTATAACACCATCTGCGATAAATTCCAACTGTTTTGTTCGAAAACTATTGGATCTTCGCAATAATAGACTATGCTATGAGCTATGTTCCCGATCCTAACAATTAAGCAACTGGTAATACTTATAATCGTATAGAGGTTGTTTGTCTTTATAAAACGGCCGGATCGCCAACATGCATTGCTCCACAGTTTTATCATATGTCAATGCAAACCTACAGACAGATCATCTTGGACGTTCCCTCAGAGAGTATTTTTGACTTAAAATTATCTTTTTATCTGACTCGTTCAAGGCAAACTCAAATGACGTACGAAAATGATTTCTACAAGCGAAAAGTACAAGCGACAATTTATGAGTGAGCCAAGTATTTACAAGGAGATCGTATCTGAAGACGTTCTGTCTTTTATTGGGTCACCGCAAAGACGTACGAAATCCATATACATCTTGCGAAGCTATTTTTAAATATCTTCAAAATTAAATAAATGATAGCAAAAGTTTGAAATCTTAAAACTAGGGAAACGACTAAAAATTCTTAGCATAACAGAATCTCTTTTTGATGCCGCAACTAAATTTAGCGTACTACCCCATGGTCGATTGCATCCAGCAAAAAACTCAATTGCGTAAGGAATTTGAAGATAACATCTTTGAGCCTTTGTGGCGCCGGTAGAACATGGATTTGGTTTATATCCAGTTACCTCGGAGGTAAGAGATTGATTTATCAGTCAAGTCATCGGCTCTTTTCAGCACTTTCACCCGTTCGCCCTGGCTTTGCTGTTTACCGCGCTACCTTCTGCCTCGAATTTTCATTATTTAATCGCTTTTTTCGCCTTCTCATGTATAACTTACAATACAATCCGTTTCCAGTTCATTGTTTCTATAGTCAAAAGTGTTTAAACACTACTCCCTAATCCTATTTTAGCTGCTTATTACGCTGGTCTAATTAAATCGGCTCCGTGTTATTTCTTATCATTCGTTCAAAAAAAAAAAATTGAATCTCTTCTTTATCTCGTCTGATATTCTAAATTCATAATAAAGCTATTGATCGAGTTATCCCTATATTTATGAGTGTTAGAGTATAACATGATACGGATGCAAGTATAAATTCGAAAATATCAACCTCCAGATCAAATACAAGAAATCTTGGGCTGAGTTGACGACAGCTTCTCCTCCCTTCAACTATGATCCTTGCTGACCACTACCATGTCCACATTTGCGGAGTACATTATCTAGGCAAACGCTTAATTAACCCTACTATACTTTAAAGGAGACTTGGAGAACAATGTTTTCGAAGTATAGACAAAGGCAAGCAGAAAGACCGAATTCACGGGAACGTGGTGCATTGAGGTTTTATAAATTGGACAACGCGGTAACAAAAAGACAAAATATTGATTTGAAAAGGGGAGAAGAAATTTTTTTTGTGAGGAGAATAAAATAAGTACAGAAAATTTAAGAAAAACAAAAAATTCTTGCTAGTTTCTGATGTTTTATGCGTTGAGTTTCCAGCAAACGGTTGGACATGACGGAAATAGAAGAAAACAAGACAAATTCTATAGTTTGGGAAGTTTTTTTTTTTCTAATATAAACACTAAGATCTAAGTTAGCACAGCTTTTACACAGAAATTAATAAGCGTGTGTATTACAAGTTTGTGGGGACATATGCGACACCAAAACGAACTTGGAAAAAATCCTATTATTGTACCAATGTACCAACCGATTTTAAAGCCATTGCATGTCTGTTTGTCTTTATGATCTTTGGATAAGTACTTTGTATTCAAATTACAAGTCGCAATTTTCGAGATGTTTTAGGCTAAAAGCATATCCGCCAAGCACCGTCTGGACCTCTCCTCGTCAGTTTTTAGGAAGGTGCATAAAAAAAAACTTTTTTTTTTATGTTGCTTAACAAAAATCACTAAAAAACAGAATTCTGGCATGGAAAATTTGACTGCGGCGGAAGTGGAAGTGAATCACAAACGCGTAAAAACGCTGTGCTGGGACCCGGCTGACCATTAAATACCCTACACCACTTCGTGCGATTATTTACAATAAAGCTTTAGGTGCGGAGTTGCTGAATAAGTGGTTCGATTCGAACCATTTTCAATAACACTCGTTCTTGGCCCAAAAAATGTTGGTGCAGAAAATTTCATTAATATATATCGAAAATTGCAACCTATAGGTTGAACACAGGAAGACGACACGAACAGACTGACGGACGGACGGACAGGCAAGAGTATATTGATTCAGAAAACAATTCCTAATCGAACGGTATAGTAAAAGTTGGGCCTATAGCAAATTCTTCTGGGTGTGGCGTACATCTTGCAGGTCGAACGCAAACAATCATGGACAGGCAGCAGACGAACAGACAGACTTATATCAATATAATTAAAAGTGGGTCTATCTTAAACCATTTTGCAGCCTACATACGTCTGCACTTAGCCCTGGGTATACCCTGCACCATAGGCTATAATAAAATCTTTCACGAGTAAATTAAGTTTG